AAATTTCTCTGTCACAGGTCAGGTGTAACAGGGACACAAAAATGTTACACTATTGGACCCTGAATTTATGCAGTGTAATTCGTTACAACCCATTAAAATGCACCTTTGCATTTGAATTTAACTTTTATCTATTATCATTTGGCAAGTTTACATTTTATTTTGAGTTTTTTGTAATGTTAATTTGCATATTCTTGAGCAGAATTGTGATGTCATTTTTGGAAGAAAAACCCAATGCTGCTTATTGTTGTGCAAGTTCATGACAGCAATCCAACCAGCAACCCTTTCTCGGGAATGCTTTCAATAAGCCAACTTACTGGTATAGGTTTACAATCTGAATAGAAACACATATCACGTCTGTAAAGTGAACAGGGTCTTTCTTGAATGACATCACAGCAACAGCTCCCTCAATTTTCTTTTAAAACGTGAAAAGTTGTTATTTTAAGATGGAACTTTATGACGTGTAAAAGTAAATTTCTGTAATGGGTGTTGTCTTTGGCCAATTTAAGTTTTTCAAGTTATATGCAAAGGTGCATTGGCAAAAGACAAAGCTTTTCACTTTTATTGTGAGATGCTCAAAATTGCAAATTTTCTACAATAATTTCATTTTATATCTTACATGAAGCAGAAGTGGTGAGCAGTCCTTCATTTTTTTTTTGCTTACAGTTCCCCGTGCTTTTGGTGAGATAAATTTGTACATGTAGGAAGTCATGTGACGACATGCATGATGAGAAGACCAAGTCTAATACAGTTTTGCAGCATTGGCAAGAACTTGCCAGAGCTAAGTGGAAGTAGTGATCACAGATGGAACAAATCTGTGACCACGCATGAATATTTCCACGCAGTGATCTTCATGAAGTCTTTGTAATAAGGTTAAGCCAGCAGGGGGTGCTCAGAGGATTCTGATCTATACACATGTACACGTGTGGCAAAAAAGTAGTCACTTCAGGGTTTCGTGGTCACCAGCAATAAATGTTACAGTGCACACTGTGGAATGTTACGAGGTACCGGTGCAGGTCTTCTTCACTCAATCCATCAGTATCTGATTTACTAGTTACATTCATTTGAAAATTGTTCCCTTACATTTTAAGGGCGATCGCGTAACAGAAGCTTAGTTGTACAATGTAGTTACTGGTTTTGCTGCAGTCTTGGGTATATGTTTTTTTTTGGAATAGATCACGTATTCTTGAAGGTGCTCTCAGTGCAATAAGATGGTCAGTCATTGCAGACATATTCTGTGGGCCTCTAATTGGTCCCTTGTTACTGTAGGGTGAGAGTCCATTGACTATCCTAAAATACGACACTATGAATCCTCCGTATTGATAACTTTTCATGACTTTCTTTATCTAAATATCACCTTCTAGTTGGATATATAAAACCGGAAGCCTTTGTTTGAATGACAGGTAACTTACAACATAGGCATCCTCCACCTTGAATGTAAGATTTCATTCTGAAACATTTGTTTATACTTCCCACCTGCTAATTTCATTGGCTGCAAGGACTCATCCTTCACCTCTCTTCATCAGTCTTCAGTGATTCAGGTCTGTGTTGGGCAGAAAGACTTCATGAAGTGAGCAGACTTCACCTGTTCCTGCTCCAGTCCAGTCTTCCTTTGACCATCCCACTCTTATAGCTCGGTTCTTTGGCCCACCATGTCAGAAATGCTTTTCCTTTTTTTTAAATGGCAAATAAATACTTGTACTAGAATTGAAGGTCCCTTAACAAAGTAATCCCCCCCAAAAAAATCGGTGAAAATTTTGGAGCAAGAATTTTGTGTGATTTTGAGTAAAACCGATACTCGTGCCAACAGATGAAACTTTGATATGTGTATGTAATTCTTACTCAACCCTACCCAAGCTATCTTTACGCAAAAGTTTCTCATATTCACAACCTTACTATTAGAGTAAACGTGAGGTTCCGCCCCTTCTCCCCCCCCCAAGTTGGCTTATCCTGTAACCAATCTTTTTAATATGTAGGGTGCCTGTTAATGCACACATGTGCCCCGAAGTTAAATTCAATGCGGCGAAGGACTTCCATTGTATGTATAATATTTTACATTTGACAACCATGTGAGGCCACGCACACCTTGAGTGCAAAGGTAATGGGAAAAGTTTTTATTTTTTAAATATCTATCCAGAAAAGTGACACCTTGTGACTCAATTAGTCTGTGTATTGCTAAGAGATTGTGTTGTAAGTTGCATTTACCGGCCTGTATGTTAATTAAATGCGAAACTCTTCCGAGCTACAACAAACCAATCCATGCATTTTTCTTGAAACTGGCATGATGAAATGTCTTATCCTTGCCTTTTAGTATACCCCCATGTTGATGCTCTTTTGAAATTTCTTGTTTCTCTTTATCATGCACTTAAGAATATCCTTGTTTTTGCTGGCAATTTATAAAGGCTTTGATTTTCTTTTTACCTGGAATTACTTCTTAATTTGTTACTGACACAATTAAGGATACTTTTAAAAAGCAACTGATTACCGTGGATTAGTATTTTTCTGATACAAAAAATCCCACAAGAAATCTATTTACTGGCTGATATTTTGCTTTTTCCACACATGCTGCCCTGAGCCCTCTTGTTTACTATTAGTGGTATGGAGTGATTTCAATTTCATATGGCTGCGAGAACTACATGTTACTCCCACTAATCTAAATTAGAAAGAGCTCCTCATTTCCTTCTGTATTTGTAAACATCGCACTTTTTCCATTCACTTCTCAAGACCAATCAAATTAAAAGTTAAAGTAAAATGATTCCATATCTGTGTGCATATGTGTTTATGTCAATTCACACACAAGTACATATTTTTTTATGCAGACCTTTTTCATGTTGTCTTCAGTAATTGCCTACTGAGTCTGATTTAATCTAAGTAGGTTTCGTGAACTTTTATTTAAAATAAAAGCTAATAAATAAACCATTCATAGTAAAACATTAGAGTGATAAATCTGAAATTGGAGATTGCAGTTGGGGTTGCAATAATGGGAGTTGTTGGCAATTAATGACCCCTCATTTATTGCCCACACATCCTGTTAAGTTGTATGAGTGGTAAAGTTTGCAGAAATACATCTTGCCCTTGGTTGTGGCTGATTATTGTTTTTGCCTGAAAATGTACTTTTTCCCCATAACTGTTTGGAGAGCAGTGTTTTCGTGTATATGCTTGGTGTGCATTTTTGTGTGGTGGCTCGGTGAGACTAATTAATTAGTTTTTTTTTGACTGGGATAACCTGTTTACCTGTCACTAAAGTATACATGAAATACACCTGTCACAGAAAACTCAGATCCTGTCTGGTCTGTGGGATGGGACATGACTGTTGCATTAATCACCTTGAGTTTTTTTGGGGGGAGGGGTTATTGGAATAAAAATGTTTTTAGGATGTGCTGGTTGTAATTGCTTAAAGATGGGTTTGCAGTTTCTGTTAATTTAGGTTGGTGATTGCGGTCAATAAATGTGATATTAAGATAAACATTAGGATACAAACTAATGCATTTTTGGTGGGAGCAAGGGTTAGACTGCATTACGTAAGGGGTGCTAAAGAAGGCAAAACGTGGAAGTTGATCCCATAGCAATTGGGTGATGTGGCACATGCCCTCACAGGTCAAAAAGTGGAGGGATGCATGATTTATCTCCACTAAATAGGGGGCGCTGTTCTCATTGAAACAATGAATAGGGGCAGGTGATCACATGACACCTAGCTCAGAAGGGGGAGGTTGGTCTACATATGAACCCAAATTGGGAGGAAATGCCCGGGGGGGGTAACACTGCACTGTACGTGATGAAACCAAATGTGGGATTGAGTGTATAATATGGCCCACCTTCCCAGCTTGTGGGGGGGACAGGATCGCTTTCTGCATTGAATATACATCATCGGGAGCTCAAACTGATGTCGGGAGATGTGGCCCTGATGAGCACTATAAAAAGTCATCTCAAAGCAGGGGTGCGAGTGGCCACTTCAAATTGAAAGCTGATAAAACCTTTAGTAAAAAGCTGCAATTTTGGACATGTGTTTGTACACAGCTGGTGCACAAAAAAAGAAATTGAGGGTCAACATGTTAATCAAAAAAGCTGTTTTTCCACGCCTCTGTCAAAGGGTGCAGTGTATTATTAATTCAGAAGCTAATTGGCGCAAAAAAAATGCCCTCCCCGGCCTGTTCAAGTCTTCAGGCTAAAAATGTGGACATTGGACAATATAGCCCAGGATCCAATCCCAGCATTTTGGGGCTCAACTGAGGGTAGAGTTGATTACAAATGAAAAGGCGTTCGATCAGTTCACAAGAAAGTAGAGAGAAACCAGTTGAAAAATGGCCTAGTGCAGGCCTGGGAACAGATGGAGAGATTGTGATTTACGTCAGGTGACATGTAAAGTAAAACACACATTCCTTATTCCACGGAGGACGTGTAGGCTACCCTTAAGAATCTGGTTTTGTTTGGATTTTATTTGGGGGGTGGGCTAAAGCACAATTGCAAGGATGAACTTGAGAATGTACGGGTTAAAAAACCCGCTCTAGCAGCTTTTTTTGGGGGGGGCTTAGAAAGTTAGCCATGTTAGTGCGGCTACAAATGTCATTGGCTAACCTCCAGAAAGATGAAAACTGATGACACACCGGCAAATTAGTTATGAATAAGACAACTTCATTTTGTTCGAAAACTCCAGTAATGTTGGCTTGCATGCTATTATTGAGCCCTGTAATTTGTTGAATTTACGATGGGGATGGACATCTACCGCGCGATCTCTGGTACCAGAGGGTGCACCCTTGAAAGAAGGCCAGAACTTACGCCCGCCGAGCTCATTAAAAAAGTTACACGCTCGACGGTATTCTACATACAGAGTCCTGAGAGCCATGAAATTGAGGAATTGTAGAAATGTGGCACTGAACCTCTGGCCTGGACTTTGGGTTTCTAATTTGGAGCAATTTGGGTGCAATCAGGTCCCAAAATGGTACTAATTTTTGGCCCGTTTTACAGAGGGATGGTTTTTCACATTAACATTGGTAACTTTTCTGGGCCAGCACAATTTCTGTATTTTAGTAGGAATGGTCTGCTTGTAGGAATTTCTCCAAATTCCAAACTCTCAAAAAGAAAGGTAAATGGAAGGGGACATGTCGGTCATCGTTTTTCTGTGAAGTGGTGAGAGTTGTGGGTATTTAAAAAAAAGAAGTGAAGTATGGGGATTCACCATTGCTGTCTACGGGGATTTAATTGAAACGGTGCACCCGAATCCATCGCATACGGAGTATGTTTGCCGCCCTCTTTTGTCCAATTTGAAGAACTGTTTTATGTTTCAAATCACTAAAGCACATAACAGCCGTATATGAGTTTGGGAAGTGTGACCTTTGACCTCCTGCCTTTTGTTGCTAGAAAACAATTTCGGTTGCGGGTCTTCAAGATCGTTCGCATATTTCGACATCGAATTGTCCAACTTTCTCCATTTTTTGACAGATTAGTGTTTATCATGGATCCAGATGGAACCCCAGAACCGATAGACTTTGATTTCTTCGCTGAAGACGATGGAGATGCCGTCAGATCTGAAAGGATTTCTGGTCGGAGTGAGAGCCCGTTGGCTAATTCGGGGAGGACTAGGCCGGAAAGCGCCGGTAGCGTACGTTCAGCTGTAAGTAGCCGCAATAGCATCAGCGTGAAGATCCCGTATGCCGGACCAACCGGTAACAGGGAAAATTACTACAGTGCAAAGGGCACGTATTCAGATTCAAGTGAGGATGAGCACTCATTTAAAGACAGTCGGTTTGAAAATAAACACCCAGTTCAAACAAACTTGAATTTAAGCGATCGGGAAAGTCGTGAGCGTGAAAATGGAATGAGATTCAGTGAAAAAAATGGAGGCATTGAGACAAGAACTTCATCAAACAGGCCAAAAACCTCTAAAGGTCTTCGTAGTCACAGAAGACGGGACAGCTCAAGTTCTCACGGCTCTAGTACGTCAAAGTCCAATCGAAGTCATACTAACAGTTCTTCGTCAAAGAGTGAACACAGCGACTCATACACTAGTGTCAGTGATTCAGACAGTGATGTAACAGATGTATCGCCCCTTCCAAGCCCAGCACGGTCCCCGACACCTACACTGGAGTATGACCAAGATGAGTTTGAAGACAGTTTTGAGGAGAAAAAATTGCGATGGGCAAAGGCCGAGAAGGAGTCTTTCAATGGGGATAGCAGACACAATAGAAGAAAGACTGGCAAGAAGGAAAGCGTACGCTTCGCTGGGGTCACTCCGAGTAATGGAACTGTATCTAAGCGTGACAAGCACATAGAGGAGACAGAAGCACGAGAATTGAGTAGACTCCTCAGGGCTGTTTTGGAAATGGACGACACACCAAATCGTTCGCCGCTGCATACTTTTCACCAGCCGGCAACAGCAAAGCTAAGACCGATGTCTGCAAAGAAGGCGCCAACAGGTACCGTGACCCATCCCATGCCTCATCAGAGAGTCAACCTGTCCTTTAGCAATGACAAAGTCCGACAGATTGACCGCGAAAATCAGCGATTATTGCAGAAGATTCTGCAGAGGCCCAAGTCGGGTGTGTCCACATCGAGGGCAGCAGCACCATTAACAAAAAAGGGAGGCCCTCCAAAAATGACAAGCCACTCAGCCATACGCAGGCAGCGGGAACAGCAGAAGATTGAGATGGAAAATATGGTAAGTGTCAAGGCAGTACATGTATTAACAGAACTTGCTCAAGTAGGAATTCTTGCGATTTTCAGACATGTTTGTTAGATATTTTGATATATTAAAAAAGTACATACATGTACATGTATATTGCTAAACTTGATGTACCAGTGCATGTGTATTAGTTGACAGTTACGAATTTATAGACCAATTCATTTGTATATTATATTTTACGTACTGGTACATGTACCTTTGATCATTCAAATTTGAAGACAAACACTTCATATTAATATGCTGGAAAGTACAGTAAGAAAAAAATTGGTACGTGTAATTGCAATTTTGACATTTTATGAAGTATTCATTGTTAAATTAACTAACTGGTAGTGTTGAAATTTCTTTTGCAAATTGCTATTCTGTCACAAATTTGCATTCACGTTTGCTTTAATGAAATGAATCAAATACATTGCACATATTTCCTGTTGATCTTTTCATTTCAATCACTGTCATTGGTCAACCCTACCAATTTGGACATTTGGCTTGGCTTATCCACCTCAGAAATCGATTGCCTGCTTTAAAAGGACCCTTTAAAAACAGGCAGCAAATGCCTGAAGGTATTGAAAAATGTACCATTTAAACTAACTTTTCTCATCCATACATCAGCAAAAAGGCTGTAATGGATGATCCCTACTATGTACAATCAGTGTCGACCAACTGTAGTTCTAGCCGGGAAGCCCATAAAGTTTTGCTTGTCTCCAACCAAGATTAAAAAAGAGCCACCAAGCTTTAAAATCTGGCTGCCAAGTTTAATATTTTTGCCTGCTTCATATACATTCTGGAATATTTCATCTTGCAACAACATCTTGATGAAAAAAACTGTCTATGAATGTGTATGAACTAAAATGGCTATCAAATGTTATGAAGAATCTTAATCCTTAAGTGTGCCCTTTTAGCCCTAGGCTGAGGCTTTGCCTTGTCCTTCATCGCAATGCATGGATTTCTATCAGTACCACTGAATTTAAAACTTGGAGTTGTAACACTGTGCAATTGATCACATGTACATGTACATTGTACATGTACTCATGTACTCTACCTCTCTTATTTCATTGGCAAATGTTGATGTTTTCTGTTAAATTTCATCATCATTTTCTCACAGAAAATCCTGGAGCGGATTGAGGCTGCCCGGGCCTCCTCCACAGTACGACGGGATAAGCTCCTGCAGGATCACAGCAAACAGATGAAATATGCAGCCCAGGTGTCCAAAGGTTCAGTGAGACCACATAGCTCCAAACTGTCCGGTAAGAGGAATGTTTGGTAGTCTGGCTTTATTGCTTATTTCCACCCTACTAATTGCAAACTGTGCTGTTCAAAATAATAAAATACAGCTCAGGAACCAGTGTTGGAGATTGGAGGGGCTGCTGAGCATGGTACATGTATATCTCATTTCCTAAAAGAGTGTTAAGGGAAAAGTTTCAGTGGTCGTTACTTCAGGATTCTGTTGCTGTTTGTACCAAACATGGTAAAGAGGCACATGTATCCGCTGCAAACGCAACTGAAGAGGGCGTGTTTTGTTTTGTTTTTTGTACTCACTACATTATACGTTTATAATGGAGATCAATGACGCGTTTGACGCGGAGCACGCTGAGTACGCATAATAAATTTATTCCTTATTGTATGGTCTTTGCACACATGCAGAACGCGTGCAAGAACCCGCTTGGAAAACTTACAACCATCTGTCTTTCTTTTTGCCGCTTGGGGATGCATTTTAACCCTGGGTAGATAGTGTACATGTACTTTACTAGAAGATTGCTTTCATTACATGTGTTGTCTAACCAGGAGGAGACCTGTTCAAAGAACCCAGAAAAACAAGTAAAAGAAAACAGAAACAACTAAAACTGATACAGCAATGAGTAGAACAACGTACCTGTAGTAAACAGCTGCATCTCCCTCCTTAAAATGGTTTTTTAAATTAATTGCAGAACAAGATGGAAAAATTAAGTTGACAAACCCAAGACAGAACAAAATTGAAAAGGAAAAAGAAAAAATAGAGACATACATACATACACAAACAGGTACAATCAAGCATGATGGCTTTTTGACCCTCACAATTATTTATCTTTTTGGTTTAGTTACTGTACATGTAGCATGTAGATTTACAATAATTTTAGTGCAGAGGTTCGAGAAAAAGTTTAGTTTGCCTAGTGATGGTGCAGTTTACATATTAGCACCTCCCGTGATGATTCTCACCATACATGTTGGCCTATGTAGTACATGTATATGCTGGACATGTACATGTACATTGTACTGGTATACACTCCTGCAATTGGTGCATGTACATGTACATTGAAGTTTATGACTGATTACCGTGTATTTGCATTGTACGTAGAATTTGAAGTAGCTTATTTGACAAAGGCAGGGAAGAATTGAGCATGCTTTTATTTAATATCCTTAACTGTACTTGAAATGGAGCACCTATTCATCAGCTCAGAGGAGTATCCATGGCAACCGGGCTGCTTCTTTGTGCATCACTGGTTTCATTATCCAGACTGAAGGAAATGATTACAAGATTTTTTATTTATTGTGAAATGAGACATTTTTGCGAAATAGCAATCCTTGTGGGAAAGGAAACATTTTATCTGTTTGTATTAGAGAAACATTGCAATTACATATAAATCCCATCTAAAGATTGATACTCCAGATATGCAAATGTATGCGTGTGAAAATAGTTAGCTTTCGACTGACATAGATTAACCAGTATTTCCAGAATTCCAGAGGCCAACTGCCGCGTATGCCCAAACTATAAAGCCACAGGAAACGTCCATTTCATAATCCTTATCAGTCTGCTAAATTCAATCCATGTGATTAAAAATCAGTGAGTGGACTTCAGTCCTGTGATCAAGGGTATACAGATGAGCTGAACTCTCAATCTTGTTGAGGTACCTTGTACACGCAGGTGTCTAGCATGTTAATATCAAGTGCTGGCTACTTGACCGTGTTCCAAAAACCAAAAGGTTTAATTCATCAGTACACTTGTGTGACCTCTTGACTTGAGTGTTTGATTTTGAGTATGCACAGCTGAAATAAAATGATCATCAGTACCACTTTATAGGACAACTGACTGAGCTCTTGTGCGGGAAATTAAGGGAAGTGATAAGATAATGGTGTAAAAGTTTCTGTGTACCAATCCAAACATTCCGGCCCCCTCCCCCAAAACTTTGTATAAATTTCAATTGATATACATGTATTTCAGGGCTTAGTTGTTTTGGGAATTGTATGTTCTGGTTTGGAGTCAAGTGCATGCATCCATGTGTCCTGTACACACTTTTTTCTTTCTTTCTCAAGCTGTTTTTTGGTGGGGAGGTTACTTCAATGGGCAAATCTACATGGACCTTGTACACATTGTAATTTGCTCTGAGCAGGAACAAAAGAGGGCGTGTTTTATAAATGAAATTGATAGTCATTTGGTACGCATTCACCGCATAGGCCTACAAGTTTATGCGCGTTTGACCTGGAGCATGCTGAGTATGTGCAACGAATTTAGTGTGGAGTGTATGGTCTTCGCTCGCACACAGAACGCGTGCAAGAACCTGGTTGGAATACTTCCATGTACATGTAAATACATCTGTCTTTCTTTTGCCTGTGACGGCGCACTTCAGCTCATGGCTGATAGGATGTTAAGTTTGTTGTACATGTTTATGTATTTAAAACAATATACGAATACAAAATATGGGTAAAAATTTCATTATAATGTGTTTCCCATTGCAAAATCAACATACACTGATGTGTCATGCTACAATGTACCTCTGTTGACTGTATTCCAAACTATCAGCTGATTGATGTCAGAGATTAATAAGGTCGTAAGTGATCTTTGAAAATTTCAGTTTTTTGTTCACTCAACTCTAAAACGTTTGTCAGTGTGTCAGCAGCAGAATTCAAACTAGATGTAGATGCGAAGTTATATAACGCTAACCCTCCTCAATCCTCCAAAATCCTCTGAGTGGTTTTGGAGGATTTTGGAAGACTGAGGTTAAATGGTGATTTTTGTGAAAAAGAGTTTGGAGGATTCAGGCTGAAAGGTAAATTTTGTGAAAAGAATTTTGGAGGATTGAGGCTAAGGATCCTAAATCTTAACACACGTACCACGTACATGTAGGCCTTCTTATTTCAAACATCTGTGCAAAGGAAAACATGTTAGTTGTTACTGCTTCATTTTTTGTACCTTTCCCATCCAGTGTTCATAAAGTTTATTCATTAACTGATATGTACAGTTTACCGGTACTTGGTACCTTATCATTTATTCATACCCAGTAAGGTGCATTATTTACAGTATGCTGAAATAGCTTTGTTTTCAGAAATCGTTCACACACTTGCCATTTCAACTGAAATATTCAGTAGATTTCAGTAGAGCTGTGGTTTTATTGAACCCATGAGTATTTTTTGCCAGTTTACCCAACTGTTAATATAGCACACAATTACATGTACATACATACATGTACATGTACATACATGTACAGTTGTACATGTAGCTAACAGTATTGATACTGTACATGTACATGTATTTTTTCAGGTGTTCACTGTGCACATGAATTAGATATAAATTGCACATGGACAAAATTGCATATTAATAATTGATGTAAATAAAGTAGTAGTACATGATTTTGCTAATATTAGTGTAGATTTAATATAAGGAAGTACTTAAGGTAACTACATGTATCAACACATTTGTGCATGCATATGTGTAAGTACATTTGTGTATTTGACCTATTTATGTCTTGATATTCTCAGCATAGTTTTCACTTTCTAAATTTCTAACAAATACTTTATTAATAAACCTGCCTGTAAAGTGCTCGCAGTCATGGGTTGACTGAAGGCTAAAAAAATGACAGGCTATAACTTACATTGTAAACCCAGAGATACTTCAGTACATAACTTGTATTGAGATCTTCTATCTCCTCTTGGCAGGCTATTCACACTCTGGCAGCCTTGGCAAAGGATCCAGCACCACTAGTCTCAACAGTGATGTGAGCCGCACCACCACAGGATCGGCTGGATCCAGGAAGATGAGACCAAGCAGTGGGCGGAGCATGCCGCCCCCTCCTCGAGGGCCCAAACAGGCCTGGGATGATCGCTGGTAGTGAAGAAGGTTTTAGCCAATGTGGACGCCATACAAATGTAATTTGATAGAATTTGGTGGAGGGGGGAGGGATCAGGACGTGGAAATTCCCGTTAACGTAACCTACCCTTGTGCAGCCTCTTAGTACCATTGTAAATTTGGCATCCAAAAATGTACCAGTTTTGTGTCCCCGTTTTACCCATATACAGTATTAAAATATATTGAAATTGACTTTAAACAATTTTCTTTGTTCGGCTAGCAACGGTACATGTAGTTTTAATCACTAAAGAATGTGTTCTAAACTCACAAATCACATGTCAGATGTGACAAGGCCACAAAAATTTTTTCTTCAAAATTTACAGAATGACCAAGCTGCCAGTAGGATATTGTTCAAATAAGCCGGACTTGTGCATGAACAAAATACCGGTAGGACTCTGTTACCCAGCAACAGCGCCCTGTGAGTGACACACCATGTGCTTGCACAAGTTTATTAAGTTTACATTTCTTACTGCTTAATATCCTGTTGGGGCAAATCAACTGGTTTTAATACAGGGCTGTGTCAAAATCAAGTGACTTCAGCTGGAAAATGTATGCTTATGAGAGCTGCTTAGCCGGTTACTTCGGACACGGCCCACTGCCCATTGAGGATGTGGATATTGCAGTCATTTTGGTGAAAAGAAGCCAATTAGTTGGCTTTGTCATTTGCCGCTTAATATACATGTATACAAAACAATTGGCTCTGTGTGCAAAACTGTGCATGCAGTTATTGCCAATGATAAAAAGCGGCTTCGCTTAGTGTGAGGATCGTGAACATAATTGAACACACTACTGTATATGTATGCAATAGCAATTATTCTTGTCATGGAAAAACATTTCATTGGCCAACACTTGTGAGGGCTTTGTCTTATGATAACAGGCTTATCAACATTTCTACAACCATATGTAACTTGAGCCTACATTCATAAGCAGTTGTTATCTCTGAAGTTTGTTAGTATCCATAGTAGTTACATGTACATGTATGACAAAAGGAAAAAGTGCTGCAAATCGCCCAAGTGTACAGAACCTGCAAGAATCAAATTGATGTGTACGACAACAGTACATTATATGTATATTCGCAACAGATGCCTTTTTTTTCCTCATGAGAACATGAGTAACGGTAACAGTTGCAGGTGATCGATCCATCCTGGAGTTGCCGTTCATTTTCTGTTGCTAAGGTGACGAGGTAATTATGCTGAGGATGGCAAATATAGACTTGTGGTTAGGAAGGCGGAAGAAAAGTGCACAGTACACGTAGCCTGTGTGACTGTCATTATTGGAGTGAACTTACAGGTATATATACTACCACACTCTCTGTTATTTATGTGGAGTTCATTATACCCTGTCATTTATGGAATCAAACGTTGGCAAACTTGACAGCCAACAAACATCTGAAGCACAATTGTTTGATGTCAAGTGGCACTTTGGAAAGCACCGATGGAATTGCCAACGTGCCTTACTGCTTAAATTACAAATAAGGCCTGCATTGGAGCAAAGCATTTCTGGTATTTAACAAGGTTCCTTCGGAATTGTTGGCCCGAGGCTGCACTTACACGTGATATGTGTGTCTACAGGCTGCTTTCAAAGAGTGAAATGTTTTGTGTACAAGTAACAGTAAAACCTGTTTAAGGCTTACATATACATCGCTTTTCCTGCACTGTTTGTTGGAAACGATACGCCTCTTGTGCTCCTTAATAATAGCAGCATAATTCGTTTTGTTGAGACTAGGTCGTTTACTTGCACCCCACTGCCAGAACTAGCCAACTATGATTTTTCAGGGCCTCTATTTTGCAGTCAGCTGATTATTCGGCCTTGTGGCAAGTGTACACTTGGGTGTAGGGACCGGTTACTATTGAGATTATTGGAGGTGGGTTGGCCTGGTGTTGCTGTGACAACCAGATGCTTGCCAGACCTCAATTGTGTGGCTGACAAAGAGCTGTGAGGCAAGTCTGTAGCTTGGCAATACTACGGTAAATGCACATGTATACACATGCCTTCTTGCGTGCATGTATTCATGTATGTATATCATTGTGAAATTGAATTCACGTTTGGTTGAATCGTACAAAGTACACTGTACATGTAGCAAAGGCAGATATACTTGGAAAAAAATTGACCTTTTAATGTATGAATTTTGGCCCTACATATATTTGGAAACATTTCTACTTCGACTTGTTTTCTTCCCACACGAATTAACATTGGACTGATCACAGAAATGTGTAGATTTTTCTGGAATTTAAAAATGCGGAAAGGGTTGGCTGATGAGAGGGTAAGACATGCCTTTTGGTTACTGTTCACTGCAGCTAGTTGTATCTCTTGATGTTGGGGCCTGTAAAGATTTTAAATTGAGAGGACGTTATTCATACATCCTAGTGTGTAAATAGTCTGTGCAATAATTTGATTTATGCTATCTCTCTTCAGTTGACAAAATACTGTAAACTTTGACTTTGAAGGAATAGGCTATCTTAATCAGTAACTATTTTAAAAAGTGGAAGCATTGAAGCACACTGTACATGTACATACGTGAACATTTATTTCAATGAGTAATTTATTAAATTCAGCTGAGTTAAAGATTGTATGGTACATCATGCACATGTATGCTTTAGCAGTGCACGCTGCTCAATGCATGCGGTGACACAGTGAATTATGAAATTTGCAAGGGCTAAGGGAACATTTATGCATGAATGTTGCAAATTGAAAAAGTTTTGTACATTGAAGTTCATAACAAGTCCAGATGATAATAACTTGTCTTTAGGAATGCTTTTAAAACCCTGATGATTAGGGCATTTCTCATAAATGTTACAATTTTTAGGCACAAACATTTCTTAATTTTAAAATGGTTTGATTTCTGTAATTTCTGATTACCCTATTTCAGTTTCCTCCCCAAACCTTGAAGTTACTTGCATAGAGGAAATGCCAGTCAAAAGCCAGTCATTGTGAATGCTGTTTGAATTACATTTACTCTGTTTTTCTCAAACTAAACGTACACTCATACTGAAAGAGCATCTTTCTTTTGTATACATGTACATGCACAGGGTATACATGTAGATCAATGTAAAAATTTACGTGGGTGCCATTTTGTCAGCAAAGTGCATCTTCATTTGCGTGTTCTCTTGAGCATATCTTAATTATAATGAAGCTACCATGTATGTGTACGTTTGTGACGAAGTTCAATATTACATGTACACATGATTACATTCAAATGCACACTATTATCATATAAAAGATATTCCAATAGGTCCATCCAGATAGCTGGCTTGGATTGTCTAATGGTTTGGAGATGGAGGCGTCATTTGGTGGCTTTAATCGCCATTCTTACATTTGGCTTTGAAGGAGTGTAAACGGGCAAATCCAGGAATGGGGGGGGTCAGGCCAGAGATTTTTTTTTAAGTCTCGTTTTTGCCATCAAGTGGAAATGATGATGAAACATTATACATGATATACATTATTTACAATAGTTATTTTTGCACTTCAGATAGTTTTTATTATTGTGTCCATTTTTTACCTTTTTTTTTACGGGGGGGGCTGACCCACCCTGGATTTGCACCTGGTACATATGACCCAATCTAACCAAATGAGTTGCAAGTGACTGAAGCCACTTCCAATGAAGTTATTGCCCCCCCCAAAAAAAACTTGCATTATATTAATAGGAATCCTCAGCATTTTCTTCAGCCGTGAGCATTTTCATCAATGAAAAACTGATACATCAAAACACAGCGCAGTTTGCTCTTTGTTATGCAAACAAAGACAAAATTACTTGAAATATGGCCTTTAGACTCAATTTATGGAGTCCGGTCACAAATACCTGCTGATGCAGTTCCCCATTTACATCAGGACAGTGTTGTGTATTGTTCTTCATGAAGGGACACAATGAAGAATCTTAACAGTGTCGGCATAAAGTTACTGGAAAATGTACTTGATTTTAAGATTTGGTTATCGGTGAAATGATCTGATAAGATTACTGCTTATGATAAATCGGTTTTGTCGAATCATATATTTTTATTGCATTAAATTGGTTAAGTTTTGTTTGTTTAAATTTGTAATGAGTGCCTTCAAGTGTGACTGCATGCATGCTTCGATTTGTGCTGTATATAAAAATGTTCAAGTGCAAATTAAGGCTTTTTTTCTCTGAACAGTTTAATACCAGGTTCAGATGGATACAGTTGTTATACATATAAGTACTTAGCAATGCATATTGTAAAGTCAGTTTTATTAAGGAATTCCTTTTGATTTAACAGCAAAATCCAAATACATGTAAATGGTGGTTGCCGTTGGTCATTAGCTTTTTGTTCTGAAATTTGTTTTGTTAACACCCCCTCCCCCCAAAAAACTCTGGCATTTGAGAGTTTTTGGATCCAGGAAAGGGGCAACAGCTGCTATCACCCCAACTGGGGAGGTTTTTTTATTTTCAACTTAAAGAGAAAATGGATAAGTAGTTTGTTTCTCCAACCAAGGTATGCAAGAAGCCCCAACAAATTAGCCCCTACCCTCAGAAATACCGTTAAAGGTCGCTTTTTGCCCTTCTCCCAATTCCCCCCCCCCTGAAAAATTGGTTTTGAATGTTATGCCGTGCGCTGTCCCAATTCAAGGAAATCTCTCTGCCAGGCGGAGGTGCTTAAAAGTACCCGTACATTTTTTTTGAAGAGAGGAGTCTGTGTGGGCCAAGAAATTGGGGGGTTGTGTGAGTATGACCCAGAATAATCTCTGTAGACTCGGGGGCTTCCATCTGGGGGCACAGCAGACAAAAATGTCATTGAATATAGTCAGAAAAGCCCGAGAAAGGTGAGGGGTATTATTTGAAAAATGGCTACTGAGAAGACTTGGGAACGTTCACTTTGGGGGAGGTTGAGTTTGTTTTAGGCGGATAATTGAACAATTCATTGGTTAACCTAATAACATTTGAAAAATCAAATAAAATCTGAAGGACCAAATAACACGTTTTTTTGTTTGAGAGGCCTCAGGGGCCCGCAATGGGGCTCTAACCTTTCTTGATTTTACACTGTTTCCAGTGGAGCTTGAATTAGTTCTGTGCACCCTTAGTGAGTCAGTGAGTTTGTTACAAATGTTCTCCGAAGCGCAATAGGTAATAACAAAAATGAGATGTACTGGGGAGATATTATTTTGCTTGACGAAAACACCTCACCCTCTCGGCGCCCGCCGCCCCGGACTTGCTCAAAGGGAGATCATGTTTGACGAGAAACGGGAACGGTGAAATAGACATTGGAATTGGGAGAAACAATAATTCACAGTGTCTTTTTGATCAGTTTGGGGGTTGAGTCTCCCAACATTGCCCCAAATGTTCCTTGTTCTTTCAATACAAATATGAATTGACTCCTCTCAACCCCCCCCCAACCGATACTTCAGCGCAGCAGGCGCAGACTAGACCGCATTACCGCTGCGCACACAGATTTAACAACATATCACTCCGCTTTACCATAAGTTGGATAAATCATGGAGCTGTCGCCCTATGGACTGTGAGTTCTTTATCAATACAAAGCTATTGTGCTCATCTAACGATGGAAGTCTTTGTATGGTAGAAAAATACTCTGTAAACTGCTCCACAGGATATCCCGCCAAGTTGTTTTTCTCATACTTTTTTTTATGGACAATGATTCGTGGATGAATACAGTGTACAGGATCAGTGGTGAATTTACCATGTAGGGGGCGCTTCGGTCTGTTACCTTGACTCTTTTGCATGTTAGCAATCCTGGAAATAAGATTGAGACCATCGATCTTGTTCACCCATGCATCAGCGGGCTGTTTTCTGTACAAACGGCTGGGAACAGGCTAGTATAACTTAACACATGCGCATTTCTTGCACAACCATTCGTGGTTGGGCTTCATACGTCGTGATGCATATATGCCTCCTGTTTTCACGTACCTGTCCGAGCATCAGTTTGGAACTGTGAACTTTTAGTCTTTTTTTCATAATCTGAACTTGTAAGTAATACCCACTTCAATGAGATCTTCCATCTGAACGATTTAAATGTTAAGTTTTAGCAAAAAACGACTTCCGTGACAGAATCTGCTTAGTCACGTTCGACGTTGTTCACCTAACTGGTACTGGTCAACCGTGCTTAGGCAACACCACGTGTTCATTTTGACGCACGTGGTCAGACGTGGCATGCAGGGAACCATCGACCATGATCATGATGATCGTGCAAAGCTGTGGAACTCACTACAAAGTTCACTTACTGGCACTTTTATCCTCTCCTTATTTGAATTTAAGTAAAAAAATATTTATTATCTAATTTAACGACTGACTTAATAATATGATCTGAATTTTGCCTAGCCTAGTCTATAGTATAGCCCAGGCAATATTCAGATCATATCAAGTCAGTCATTAAATTAGATAATAAATATTTTTTGTATTAGCAAACTGTATGCTAATGTGCCTGAAGAGGATGTCACAGTGCGACCGAGCTAGCAGACCATTCACAAAAAAATATGGCGTGTTGGCATACCCCTACCCCCAGAACTGTGGGTCCAACGTCCGCCCCGCTCCCTCGACCACCGAGCTTGCAAAAATCAAAAAATAATTAACATCTCCCTGACGCAAATCCATCCTTGGAAATAGTTGTTTGTGATACCCGCTGCTACACCTGACTCGAACCAGCAAGCCGACACTGGCAAGCTCGGTGATCGATGGGTTGAGACGTCTGCACTAGTAAGCAGGAAGTAGTGGGTTCGAGTCTCACCCGAGTACGCTTGTGTTTTTTTTCACCAGCCTTGGGGGACAGACACTTAGTATGCAGTGTGATAATACATGTCAGGCAGGGCAAAAATCTGAAATTGTTGAGATCCTGCCAACTGCAACAGGTCGTGCTATTTAGCGTCAACAAGCATCAACGAGCGTCAACTAAACATCAACAATTTATTCAAGCATATTTATGCAAAGATTTTTATTTTAATGTGTAAAATGTTATTTTAGGATCCTAAATATCAAATTCCATGTAATATATCAATGTGAAATGATAGTTGAGTGTTGAAATTTGAGTGACAAAGTCGGGTCTGTTTGTGCAGTCTGACTGCGTGTGTTCGCGTGGACGGCAGAGGAAAGAAAGATGGCAGACCAATACATCGCAAAAATTTTTTGTTTTCCTGCGAGAATCTGGAAGCAAATTTGATGTTTCTCTTATACAATGGCAAGTGTTAGAGTCTCTAAAATATAATAAAACCACTTTTAAATTTGTAGAGGGTTTTTTCAAGTTGTTGACGCTTTGTTGACGCTACTTGTGTGTGCTGACGCTTGTTGACGCTAAATAGCATAAAAACAACTGCAATGACATGCAGGCACATGTAGGTGGGTTAGACCTGTGCATGCTGTGCTTGACTCACGGCACAATATGGCCACCGCCATAGATGTTTTGGCGCAACTTTGCTCCTAATTTGTGTTGAAATTTGCTTTGACAATCACTGTTGTCAACAGTGGCAGTGGGCACACCCACGATAATCACAAAATGATAATGTACGTTTACTGCAAAGACAAAAATCATTCCACACTGGGCTTGTGATGATGATAGATTTCTTTCCCCAGCTTATCGATAGATGCTGATACTGACAGCTTGTTTCTTAAGCCAAACCAAGTCTGAGCAAGCCAACAATTTTTAGTTCTACGTGTTTGGGTTTATTGCCGTAGAATCTGTCTTGTCTGATAAATAAATAGGTCAAATGATAATTTGTACATTTATATATTTTTTCCAGGTTTTCCAGAAGTGGCCAGAACTAAATGTAAGTAACCTAATTGTACTTAGTATTTGAGTGTAATGCACAAGAAAGTAATTGGCCATGATGATATTTGTTCCAACACATCTGCAGTTTCCACCGTAGAGGCCCCTGGCCTTAATGATGGTACAAACTTCCTTGGATGTCTGAGCCGTTTCTGATGTTCCTGTCATGGAAAATTGATAACTCCAAAGTGTAGATGCTTAAACTGAGTTGGTATATTTCAGATTCAAACACAGGTGTACTTCAAAATGGAAAAATGTACTCTACTCGTAATGATTGTTGAATATTTTGAATGCCATTTTCTGTTCTTTTTGCCCTTATTTTGTTGTTTTTGTTCCATAGATTTGTGCCAGATGAAGCAAGGAAATTTCTCTCAGGTATCCGTACATTTACATGTACATGTAGGTGAGTCAATCTAATTGTTAATTTTCTGTGATTTTTCTGAGGTATCACAAGGAGTTGGCCATGATGATGTGTTTCCAAAAAGCATCTGTGGTTTCCTCCGTAAAGGCCTGTGGTCTTAATGATGGCACGACTAACGATCCCAAACCAGCCAAACTCCAACACCAGGGTTTGCTGGAATCTGTTAGGATGAGTACTGCATGAGTAAACTGACTTTGTTTTGTGTGGGATTAGTCTTACCACAAAGAAACAGAGTCCTACTGTTTATGTGCACAGTTTACTGTGGTGTTCGGATTTGCAAGGATGAGGAAAGGTCCAAGTCCATGTAAATCACTTGAGGGAGCTAGGGTTAACCCTAACACTCCTCAGTCCTCCAACAGGTGAAGGATTGAGGAGGGTTAGGGTTAACCCTAACAGTCCTCAATCCTCCAATTTCAATATGATTTTACATACACCCTGGAGGTTAGGGTTAAGCACTAAAATAAAAGTGACTTAAATTTAAAGCATTCATGGCATACAGTTTAAGTTTGTATTCCATATTTATGTTTTCATTTTTCAGTTCATAGACGTACCTTTCTGTCTTAAGATTCTTTGACACCCGTCTATTGAATTTATGTGGTTTGAGAAGTTGTTTTTGGCTCCATATTTGAATTACATGGCCATGACAAGTTCTTTCACATCTTCCATAGTTTCCGCCATAGCCTTTGGTGTCAACCAATTCTGTTTTCTTTTCATGAATGTTTGCATGCTCTTGTAAAATACTGAACTGTGTACCTCATCTCTGAAATTGACGTGACCCCTATTTAAGACCATGAAAAGCTCTAATTTGGTAAACTATATAAATAAAAACAATTATTCGGTTGTGATTGTTTTCCTTGTTCTGCTATTAAATTTTTTTCTTTAGTGAATGTTTAAGTTCATTTTCTGTTTTTAGAACTTTATTTAATTTTCTTTGAAGAGCATTGTGATGTGGAAAAAGAACAGGAAAGGCAAGCACACTGATGAATTGTGGGGTTTTTTTTGTAATCATATTGTCCTTTTCAAAGTTGAGTAATGTGACTGGCTTGTGATGATGATGGAATTCTTTCCCCAGCTTATCGATAGATGCTGATATTGAAAGCTGCTGCTCAAAGCCAAACCCAATCTGAACAAGCCAGGAACAAATCAATTGTGAAGACGGAGACATACAGGATTCATGTGGCACCATTTTGTGTAGCGCTAAAGAAACCAAGTCACAGCTCAGGTGTTCATTCCATTCATCTGAATGCCAAAATTTTGACCCTTTACGTGTAACTTGTTTCGCTATCATTTGTTTCAGCTCGAGACTTCAAGCCTGAAGGTGCCTTGCCCTCTGCAGGCCACCTGTTAGTAAGTACAAGCAAGTTTGAAAGTCTGTTTAATTTATGGGTATGTTTGTAGTTTGTGTGTTCCTTTCTCATTTCTAATGATTGCAGTTGGATTCTCATGTGAGGATGTAAATTTACCAAATGAAGCAAGTTGTACGTCGAACCATGCAAAAAGACCTTGTTGAATTCCCTTTTCAATTCATGAATGATTTCATTTCCATCAAATTTTCAGCCTGGCATCTGATCAACCAGATTTAACTTAGTATTCCTATTTATTAAAATGACTACAGCATCCCAGACTTACAAGAGTGTCTTTCAGTGACTGCATTTCAAGCCTTACTAACATTTTATTTGGCTAGTGTTTGGATTATTCTTGTAATTCTAGTAAAGTTCAATTTTCATTTGGGCAAAAAGTTTAAGAACAATTTTCATCTGAATAGACTTGTTTTCTTTGTTTCATCATTCAGTTGTCCGAAGATATGAAGATCAATTTTGTCTTTTCAACTTGATGTAGATTTAAAACTTTTATAATAAAACAATCCAGTAGAGAGGAAGACACCAATTGTATCCATTTACTCCAAGTTATAGTACCCATAACTGTTTCCCCAATTTCTTTGCTTTAGATTAGAACACGCTAAAGTTAAACAGTGAACTGGTGTTGCTCGCATACATGGTTATGATGACTTTATTTCTAGCTGTTCCCTAGTGTACATTGTACATAATGGTGGGAGACATTTCACCTTGGAGATCTGAACCATGCTGATGTCCGTTAATCAAGTCGGATCCTGTCTTCATTTAGACAATAATTTCTAGGGTTTACTCTTTTTTGTTTGACAGATCTGTTGCAAGTCAACATGATATGACTACAGAGGTATGTAAGAGAATGTTAGTTCTTCTGGAATTAGTCTGACAGATAGTTGGCCATGATGATTTTTTTCCAAAACATCCGTAGTTTCCACCGTAGAGGCCTCTGGTCTTAATGATGGTACAACTTCCTTGGATGTCTGAGCCAACAGTCTTGATTTTGTCTTTAGAATATGTAATTACTGATGATCATAGTAAGCCTACCCGTTGCGTCACCAACAGAATTGCTATTCTCCTCATGACAATTGTCAAAGTAAACCTAAAGCAAAGCAAGGAGAACGCTACAGGAGTTACAAAATGGGAAACATTTGTGCTACTTTCAAATCACTCCGGTGTTCTATACGTGGCACTTTTTTGCAATGAAACAAGTAACATTTTCAGTCCGCTGTTCAAGTTGATTTATCAAAATTCATCTTGGTCGAAATTTACAACTTTTTGGAATAAAGCACTCCAACAGCTGGAACGAAGATGCCAACGGTATCCATTTACTCTGCCTGGAGTCCCCATAATTGTTAACATAATTTCTTTTCCTTTAGGTTCGAACATTCAAAAGTTCAATAGTCAACAGATGCTGCAGAAAGCCAAGTAAGTTTATTTAACAATTTCATTTTCAAGTTTTCCATACCCGTTACAAAGGTCACAAAAGTTATCTTCACCTTAACGATCCTGTTTTCCTTGAAAATCCACCAGAAAGTTTCAGATTTATATGAAAGGATTTAAAAAATAAGATTCCTGTCATTGTTGCCTAACATGGGGCTTGATGTCACTTGAAACTACATAGAATGTACTGTTGGCTTTCTGCAGAGGGAGGAATTGGCAAGATCTGGGTAGAGTCTTGACGAAAAAGCTGGGAAGTTGAAGTTATGGTTGATTACATCTCACGAGAATGTTTATGATGAATTCATATATGGCTCTTCCCTAGTGTACATTGTACATGATGTTGGGAGATATTTCACCTCGGAGATCTGAACCATTCTCGTGACTAATAATCAAGTCATATTCTGTCTTCATTTAGACAATTGCGTTTTACTTTACTCTTTGTGTTTTTTGACAGATAGATCGGCAAGGCAGCACACAATTATCATGGAGGTACGTATTTACCTTCTATAATTAGTTTGAGAAATAGCTGGCCATGATGACGTTTTTTCCAAAACATCCGTAGTTTCCACCGTAGAGGCCTCTGGTCTTAATGATGGTACAACTTCCTTGGATGTCTGAGCCAACTTTCTTGATCTTGTCTTCCAAATATGTAACCACTGATTGTCACAGCAAGCCCCCCGTCATGTCACCAACAGAATGTCTATTCACTGCTCATTGATTGACGGTGTAAGAATGTGTAATAGATGCCCCTCATCAAAACCTGAAATATTCTTGCTTCTGCTTGAACCTTTCCCTTTCCTGATGAGTCAAGTCATTGAAGTGAATGTTTTCTGCTTGCCTTTTTTAACCAAATTTTACTGCATCTGTAGTTCACTATGCTGATTCAAACAGGATCAGTAGCTACATAAAAGAGGCGATAACATTCATGTACTTCAGCTCTAAATCCCCCGCAATTTTTTGAATTCTTTGACTTCAATAGATTTTTTTAAAGATCAGATCACATAAATGTCAGATAGGCACCTGATATGTTGCAGATAGTCAGATGGTCACCTGATGTATTGCAGATAGTCAGATGGTCACCTGATATGTCGCAGATAGTCAGATGGTCACCTGATATTTGGAAGAGGTGCATTTCTAGCTTATTCTTTGTCTACCTTACAGGATAGAAAGATTATTGCAACCCTAACCCGTGTGATCCTTGAATATCCACCATGAGACGGTGAATTTTTGGAGAGGATAGATTAACCCCAGACCCTGCCAAATCCAGTAAGATGGTGTTTGATTTACACTAAACCTCTAGAGGTAGGGCCATGGCTGTACATGGTCACTGTTGCATTTATGGGGCTCGGTATTCCTTGAAGATGCTGAGTACGTGTCATTGGCATCCAGTAGAGAAGATAAATTGGGAAGATCAGGGTAGAGTCTTGGCCAAAAACGTCAGGAAATTTTAACTAATGATGAAAGCGGCATGCACCATTATGAAGACATCATTTGTTTGTGTTTCCTAGTGTACATCATACATTATGGTTGGAAATAATTCATGTGAACTATGTGAAATGAAATTTTATTAACCTGTCATCCACTGATGTCAAACAGTGTTCACCCAGTAATGATGATAATAATAATACGGGAATAAATATGTGCTTGGTTGGTCTTAAACACGTGTTTAAGACCGGCTCAGGAGAATGGACGCGACTAATGCCCGAGCTGCAGGCCAGGGTACCATCAGCGGTAAGTGTCCTGAGTTGGTCTTAAACTAACTATGGCCCATACATAATACCCCTTGCCTACAGCACACTACTGCATATTGTTAGTAGGTTCCATTATGTTCTATGGCCATGACGACAGTGTCCCTCACAACTGCTAAGCAATGGCATTGATTCCCCCCCCCCATGAAAAGGAAAATACAACCTGCCTTCTATTCAGGTCTACATCTCGTGTTCAGTCTTTAAACTAAGATGATACTTTTTCATTTTTATTATTTCTGTTTTAGGATTGAAGCTGAGGAAAGTAGTTATTCAGGTGAGTCTTTTCAGCGTGCATCCTGAAGTGGACAGAGTGTGTGTCGTTGACATTGCATGTACATGTAATGCAGTTCATTTAAGGCTTGTGATGATGATAGATTTCTTTCCCCAGCTTATCGATAGATGCTGATATTGAAAGCTGCTGCTCAAAGCCAAATCAAATCTGAACAAGCCTTTCACTGCAAATCCCTAACTGCTTCCTTTTGGAATTAAACCCTCCCACTTCGATTGTAGTCCGATTGAGGTTGCTGGTATTTGCTTCACTGAAAACATACTGAAAATAAAGATTTTGAGATTGAGGTGGTGTTTGATTTGACCCAATTACCTCAGGAAATGCATGAAAACTGCCTGTTGAAAATAAACTTGTAATTAACTCTGAAATTTGATTACACCTGTTCTGCATAGGTGCACCAGACATCCTAATCCACAGACGTTCACATTGTTCAGCTTGATCTCTTAAGGTAAATCAGTTCTTAGACTTCATAGGTTCTTTAGTTAGAAACAGTTTGTGGCTGTATCTATTTACTTGTGGGAGAAAATTGTACATGGAAACCTGTCATGTTGGGAAACTAAGAAAAGTTTCATTTTGTGAAAACACAAATGGACTGAATGTGCTCAGGCTCTGCTCAGCATTAGTTTTTGAAAACAAAAAGTGTGCAGGTCTGTAAATGTAGTGCAGAAGGAGCGCACACTCAAGCACTGGGTGTCAGTCCATTGTGATGGCAACAAATTGTTGATATTTTAGTTTTGAATGTTTTTTCAAAAAGTTGAATTCAACGTTCTTCACAGATGAGCAAAGGTTCGCTCATATATTTGCTTGTACATCCTCACATACCTTGGCATGGCACAGCTCATCCAGGGTATAGGATTTTTAGATATGAACTTGTAAACTACATCAGGTGTACTGGAATGATAAACAGCCGATGTTGGCCCTCCTGTGCATTCAGGGGAAAAAAGTTATCCTGCAAGTCAAAATCAGTCAAGTGACTGTAACAGTTCAGAGTTCCCTACCTACATTAAGCAGAATTGACTGGTTGTGACTTGATACAGGTTGACATAGCTGAGCCTTGACTGTTGTTTGATAAGCCAGCTTTGTGTATGAGTCACCCGACTCTTCTGTTGCCTGACAACTGAATTTGACTGGTCACATTACCAACCAGAGGTAACTTGAATTTTTGACTGTCACTCCTACAACTAAAGGAGGGTTAAAAGATATGACTGGCTTGTGATGATGATAGATTTCTTTCCCCAACTTATCGATAGATGCTGATACTGACAGCTTGTTTCTTAAGCCAAACCAAGTCTGAGCAAGCCAATTTCTAGCTGAGTTCCAACCTTCTTGTTGTAATATTCAAGCTGACTTGTTTTATTCCATTACATCTTAATTCTGTTTTCCTGCCTTTCCCTGCAGCTGTAGTCTTTCCTACAAACCAAAACGGTAAGCTTGTTTTTTTTCTGTACAATGTTTAAGTAGCTTCTCTTCATATTTTGCTTCTGTGCAAGTTTTAAATTACCCGAATGTCATGTTAATACTGAATTGTTAAAATATGTCGGAGATGATGATATTTGTTCCAACACATCTGCAGTTTCCACCGTAGAGGCTTCTGGTCTCAATGATGGTACAACTTCCTTGGATGTCTGAGCCAAGTTACAGTTTTACATGACAATGAAACTTAGGTGATATTCCTTGCTTATCAAAAAACTTGTTGCTTCAGCAACAAAGATTGTTTTACTCCGTATCCAATTCTCAAAAATCTTATTGCACCTGATCTACGGACTAATCTTCCATACCACATCCAAAATTGCCCTACCCTGGAACAGGTTAAACCTTTACTCAAAAGATACCTGTTCACTTTCTGAGCTTGTAGAAACTTCACTGTATTATGCATTTTATCAGAATTTATCAGTTCATGATCATTGCTATATAAATCAGACATTCAGTAAATTTATTTTGTTAATGTTAATTTCAGTTTCCATTTGCTAATTTTCTAGATATCCTAGAGATGGATTGAAACAAACCTTAGGTGTTTGTAAACAGGTAAGCAAATACAGTTTGGCTTCTTAAGTTCTCAAGTGTGATAAGTAATTGGCCATGATGATGTCTATTCCATAACATCTGCAGTTTCCACCATAGAGGCCTTTGGTCTTAATGATGGTACAACTTCCTTGGATGTCTGAGCCAACATCAATAATATTGTCTATTAATAAGTCATCACAAATTATTACATCAGGACCAGTCATTGTGCCAAGTGAATGCAGTGATATGGGAAAAAGTGTTGCGGGGTGGGTGAACTCTCTCCCTTTCGCCCCTGCCCCTTTTTCTCTTAAAATGTTAATGATGATACAGTTTTCTTAGATATGTAAGCCAACACAATTATAAAGACAGATGTCTTCAGATTAATAACTCTTAAGCAAGAGTTATTGACATCTTTTTTATAATTAGCTGAACAGCCTCTTTTTTAAGCAAATGGCTGGTTCATTTGTGTCATTGAATTAGTCGGCATTTTTCTCTTGTGAAAAATAGTGATACAGATGTACCAAGGTTTGAAGGAATTAAACAGCAGGTTGTGTTTACTGCACAATTACCCTCAAGTTGTGCTACAGTGTCTGTGCTGTAATTATCTTTTATCCCTCTGACACCAAGACGTACTCTCCATTGATTTCCTCTCCAGATAGTTGTGATTTGATGCCTCTTCCTGACACTCAACACAGTGAGTCTTCCAGAGAACAGTCTTTTTTCTACTGCAGTAAAAACCTCATGCCGTGGAAAAAAAGTTGAAGATTCATAATCTTAGAAAATACTTTGTTGGTTCACAATTTTAAAACTAATGAACTGTGAATGTGACTTGTATTGCAACTGTGCTGTGAAGCAGATAAATATGAGATACAGACTCGATAGGAATTATTTTCAAGTTGGAGAATTCAAGGGTGTTAAGGTTAAGACAGACGTTTTGTTCGTGCGGTGCACTTTTGGGCAAGAAAGTTTCCTTGGGCCACTTCAACCAAACTTACAGAGCTGTTTGAAGAGGGATGCTGTGTTCGGTAGTGAAACTCTACATCACAACTTCAAGAAAATAAACGTGTACAACAGAGGGGGCTCTTGCTACTGTTGGTCAGGCTCATCAGTTTTATTTGCTTGAAGGTTGTGTAGTGATCCAAAATTTTTCCATTTTGATTGTGATCCTTATTTGGCTTAATCCAGTGGAACCTAGGATTGGGAGGCAAAGATTACGTTAATTTTTGTATTTTCCCACTGTGAAATAATAATTATGCCACTAATACAGCTTCTGCTTGGGCACAGTGGCGCTTAGATAAGCCGATGGATAGTTTAAAAGCAGCTGAAAGTGTCCAATTTTAAATGTGGTTTGGCTGTATCAGCCTTGACTGCAAAGGTCGTCAAATTTTGATGTGAGAATTTTCTGTTTGTGAAAGAGGAGTACTAATAAGACTGAAACAGAAATAAAGTTGCTTATAACTGATCAAGCTGCATTATGTTGTTTTGCATTCTGAATTTTGTTCTACGTGTACAATGTTGTGTGTTTGGTTTTTCTGGTTGGTTTTATTTTGTCTGTGTGTGTTGTATGATTTAAATTTTGGGATAAAGGGAGTTTCGACCTTCATAACTGCATATTTGGACAGGTAGTGCTGTTCAGAATTGATTTCAATCTTACCGGAATATTTTACGAATGGATAGAAATAATGTAAATGCATGCGTATATATAAATACATCAGTACTGTAATAGACTTAATACATATATGTACGTAGCGAATTGGTTTCCAGCAAAATGACAGGCAACATTTAGGTGCAAGGATAGGCGAGACACTGTTGCATCCTAACCTATGGATAGAAAAGCTACCATGACTAAGACTAGGACAAGGGACAGGCAAAACAAAGCAGACAAGCATGAGATGAGGCTTAGTTAAAAGAGCGCAGGCGATTTGTTGTATGTCAATCAAAGCATGTAGCCATTGTTTGGCATGCACAAGGGCTTATCCACTACGAACACAGGAAGAGGATTCCCCTCGTTTTCTCTGTTCTCCGAATGACGTAATATACATTCAGAATTCGCATCTTTGTGTGAAGCTCTGAAGACAAATTACACTGCGTTCGATTTGGATGCTTTCATATTTATTTGAACAGAAAATCAGAGAAAAATGTTTGTCTAAGAGGTCTTTTAAATACGTGGATTTGACGGAAGGCTTCGATTCTGAATGCGTTTATAGAGGTTCTATCTTTCCAGTAACCAGGTAACTACTTTTGTTACGGACGGATAGTACCAAAAGGTCTACTCACGTGTTTCCCTGTGGAACAAAAGCTCCTACCAGAAAACTGGCTGCTCTCTAGAACTTATATATATTCAAAATGGATACAATGTATTAAATGAAGTCCGAAAAATCACATCAAGTGAAGATAGCACCTGACTGTTTCCTGGCTTTGCCATGTGCAAACGCCGATGACATGCCGTGATCCGTGAAGGAGACTCGTTGATTCTAAGAAGGTATTGGAGTCGCTGCGTACCTACGTTGATAGACGTAAAATTCCAGGAATAAGTCCTTTGTTTTTGTGATTCGATTTATCGTGCTATTCCAGTCTCTTTTCACTGAATGGATCTTGAGATTCCACTTGCAAGGGCAGGTCTGCGAGGGGGGGGATGGGGGCAAAGGCCTCTCGAAAAGGAGCAAATTTTTTAAGCAAAGAAAGATGAATATTTAGGTTTATGTCATTTTCCTTCTTTTAATTTTCAAAAAGCTTGTGAAAAGTTCCATAATGTAGCCCCCCATAAAAGATTGTATTCAAAAATTCCATTTTTCGCCCCCCCCTAAAAAACAAATTCCCCTGCCCTGCAAATTTGCCTCTGGATCCATTCTTGGCCGCTTGAGGAAGACCCGATATGATGTGATACCTTGCTGCTGCCTACCTAAATCAGCAACATTTAAAGTCGTGGCCTAAACTGCGTCTTTAGGTTATTCTTTTTAAGTTGAGCTGGGTTGAGAGTTGACTATTGTGTCTCATGTAGTGACATGTTCGTTAGTTCTGTTATAATGAACAGAACGTAATTATATATCTTTGTTTTCCAGTGAACGTTTGAGAAGGTTTCAAAAAGCCCATTTGCACGTAGATCAATCAACTTATATACAATGTCAACTTAACTTGGGTCTTTTGGGGAAAATAATTTGGAAAGTGGTGTGATTTTGAAATATAACCGCAAAAGTGTTTCTCCTTAATATTCAAAATGAAAATCAGAAATTTTTACTAGAAAGAAAGGGTTGTTGTTGAGGGTTGCGGTTTTTGTAGTTTGAATTCCGTACGATCAAATTTGCATTCATGCATGTACTCGTGCCCGCCCTCAACAACGAACGAATGAGACCCCGCAAAATGCCACCGACTCCCCCTCAAGTTTGTGTCACCCTTCCACCAATGGGATGACTCATAAGCCGTGACGTCAGGGGTGCACAGTAGCACCCCCACCAAACAAGGCCAAAGGTACATGAGTTGCACCGTGCAGTCGAGACCTGTTGCAGTACGTTCGAACACATCACGCAGGACACCTGTGTAAGCGATACAGAGATTGAAATGCACTAACCCTGTGGAGTGGTGAGGCGAGATAACGCACAGCGTGTTACGCATTCCAACAAATTTTGTCCCTGTGGAAAAAGTGAATTTGGTACACATTGGCTTGGGACATCGAATACGGTGATTGAACGTGCATTTCTCTGCAACTTACAAGTAGATGGTTTGTGACTGGATGCTGTGTGTTTCTCCTGCTTAAGACGATTAATTTGAAAGTAGTGCTTGTTGAGGAAGTTGGAACATGATGGATGGAGACTCGGATTCGGAGAGGTCTGCTTCGTTGAGACATCAAGATCAGACAAGTCTTGAAGATGCCTTGGTTGAAGCACGGAAATGGATCGAGGTTGGTATGCAAAAATACTAACCATGCTAACAGCCTATCTTCTGAAAACTTGGAATGATGGAATGGTTTTTGCAAAGTCTTTGTACCCATGGAGGAATCAGAATTCATTTGTGAACTCACATAACCCATCTTGTTATCTCCTTTGTAAATTGTCCAATTAAACTTAGGTGTTATCTTTTTGAGAGATATAATGTAGACGGGGTGGAGAAATGTTTCTTCATGTTTGTTTTGTGACGAGTGCTACGCGGTATATGTACGTAAAGTACAGTAAACCACCTGCAATCGGCCTTATCCATCCACGGTGTCGGAAGTTCAGTACCAGTGTTAGCAAGGACACAGTATCAATTGAAATCTCTCTCAAAGGTAATTTGAATTGGAAATTTCTATACCAGTAAAATTTAATAATGAGGTAGACGCATGCAGCTATTGTCTGTAAATATCTAGACATAAAATATGGAATGTTCCCACATATTTGGGCCTTTGAATATGCCCTACATAGTCTTGTGGTTTCATTTTCAAGGTTGCCTAAATTCCATTACATTGAATGCAGGAGTTCACAAGGTCACATAGAAGGGGCTTTTCCTCTTTGTGACTAAAAGGATTAGGAAAATATGATTTATTGCTGTTTCATTTTCACCAGCAGGGCATATTTCCTGTCTTCAGCCTTCTGCCAATGTCATGTGCATGTGAATTGTTTTGGTCTGGTAGTTTCAGTTTTTGATTGTGACCCAGGGAAAAGAGAAGATAATTATTTTTAAGAGACCGTGCCTCCAATCAGACGCATAGTGAGCAGTCTTCTTCTTCGAGATTATTCAGTTTTAATGGGTCAACAAGTTATGTATATCTGCAAGACATGTGTTATTAGTGCTTGCCTGTGTTTCTTCTTTCAGACTTCAAGGTGACTTTACTTGAATATTATAGTCACTGCCTTTGAGCATGCCTGTGGTTGCAGTGACTGCAGATTCATGCCACAACTCAAGATAGGCAACAGATAATGAAGTATCAAGGTTGAATTTGGTTGGAAATATGTGTAAACCTTGGTGAAATCAGACTTCCCTAGAGAAAATGGTCTTCAAGAAAGTCTAAGAAATCTGTTGTTCATATAGCGAGTAAGTCCTTTTTAAAACTTTTTTTGCTCTAGAATTGGGATCATCACACATTTTAGGCTTTAACTGTTACAATACAAAGAATTTTTGGGAATCTGAAGCAAAAGACAAGACAGGATGCATAATACTGTTGTGCTTGGAACAAAATTCCCAAACTGTTATTATCTGTACCCAATTCCACCTGTTGGTTTACTACCAAAGAAGGAAATATGTACATGTACATGCCCACCCAACATTTGTCCAACAGTCTTCAAGTTATAGCAATACCTGCAGGTACACGTAGATGGCCTGCATACTACGTTAGCCATGCAACCATGGAAGGGTGATGATAATATATGAAGAGGTAAACACTCATTGTTACCCTGCTATTGTCCGCAGTTCCCTTCATAATAGACAGGAGAAAGGTTAGGACGGACCAGACAAGGCTATGTCAAAAAGTGCAGACTTTTGTGTTGCTGTCAGCAGAATAGTGTCAACATGAAGACCTGCCTGTGAAAAAGAAAACACCTTTATCTTGATGAAACTGTTTGGAGTTGAAAAAAAATGCTGTTGCAACCATTTCCTGCCAGACTATTACCTCTCGATGAACATCAGAATTCAGGGACAGATTTATGGAAGTGTTTCTGACAGTTTTGGAAAGAAAGACAATGTGCCCTCATGAGGTGATACTCTGTCACCATTTCATTTCATTGTGAAGAAGTGTTCAATTAATAGGATTTCTTCAAAACTTACAGAAAATTTTGAAGCTAGTCTATGATGCGTGTAGGTTTCAAAAATGTTGAATTTAATGCTGTGATGAGAATGGTTTGGCTTCTGAAAAAAAATGCTCGTACGTAGTCAAAGAAGGTGACATTTGACTGGATCAGTGCATTTCAGCATGGACTGTGTACTGCATGTACATGGCATGCAATTGATCCAAATTGATTTCAAAGTTTAGACTGTACTCAGGTCAAGTGTTAAAACAAAGGGCCTATGCATCTCAAGATAGCATGTACGTGTATTTTTGGTGGTCATGAAACGTTTTACACTTTGGTAGGGTTTTTTATCTTTGATAACTGCTGCTGATGATCCTGGTCAGGTTGTCCTGCAAACGAACTTCCCCAAATTGATTTGTCAATGCTACTTTTTTACATCTATTTATGTGAGACGTGAAATGCACAACAAATACTCTATATCCAGCAGTTTTCAGCAACTACTGCATGTGCCAATGTCCTTGTCACCAATTGCACTAGGTAGGCAAATAAGCAAGCACTCTAAATCGATAGTTGAAGAACAGGAATGGCAGAAGAATCAATACCTATGACAATTACAGGGGCCCAGATAACACCTCCCTTAGAATGACCGATGAAAACAAACTTCTTGACTCTCCGATATTTGCTTGCTTTTGGGAGCAGATACTCCAGTGAGAATGAAGAGCTTCTATGCTGTCCATGTTTTGTCCAAAAACCCTTCAAGTTCTTATAGCTTATTTGGTAGAAATTTTATACCCCCAAAAATTGCCACTTTTCTAAATCTCAGAAAAGGAGGTCCAAAGTTTTTCGGGGGTAATGTATCCCTTCCCTAAATATCCTTCAGATTATTTGTAAAAAATAGCTTTAATTCTGCAATAAGCATGTGTGTATTACACGCAGTAGTTTCCTTGAAATGATTTTTTCCAGGTCACTGAAATTTTTTCTTTAATTACACAGTGCAGACAGCCTCAAAATTTCTAACTGCCAGATAAAGGTCGGGACTAGTCTAGTCATGCCTGAGTGGTTTACCTGAAGGCTTACATGTAACTATTCAGGCACATAGGACCTGTGGAATTTTGTAAAAGTAGCAAATACCACACTGATGAAATCATGAGTACGTGAAGGTGTGCTCGTGAAGGTGTGCTCGTGGTCATACCACCTTCAGTATTTGTGAGTTGTATTGACAGGTTGGGCTAAAAATTAGCAGAAGGTGTCTGTGGGATTTTGAGGTCATAAAAAAAAGGTCATTGAAAATTGTTGAGACCTTCCTGGGTATTAGTAGGTTTGAAAAGCCTATGAAATGACAAAAGTTGATGTAGAAATTGCTATTAAACTGGACATGTAATCAAGGAATAGGACATACGTACAAGTGTATGCAAAATGGGAATCAATAGTCTGTTTTGCCCTTAACAATTAAATCTTTACACATTTGAAATTTTTTCCGGCATGATCTGATGTTGTTAAACTTTTCAATTTCCTTTATCAACAGTTTTGTATCACAGAAGGCCAGATACACAGGTAGCCACTTTAGGAAAATAAACAAAAAGAACCACAAAATAGACAAATATGTTTACTTTCCTCCTTTTATTTAATTATGGCAGCTTTAGTTATACCGACTTATGAGGTTTCATACTGAATACCTAAAATATGCTTGGTCATGACTGTTCTCTTCTTTCGATTGTTCACATTATTGTTCAAGCATCTGCACGGTAGAATAAATCACAATGTCTAAGACATTCATTAATGATAATAAGTTATGAACTATAGGCTTAGTTTCTCAAACTCAGTCATTTTCTAGGAAAAATCTAAAGGAAATACTTTATCTCAAAGATATTAAAAAGAACAAAAGAAAAACAACATTCCTATTTGACTGTAACAAAAGTCCATGCGCCTGATGACCACTTTTTAAAATTAATTACCAGCCGTTCCAGGTACGGTAAAGAAATATGTTGTTACTTAACCTCTACACCCTTTATACCAGAGTGAAAGTGACATATTGTGCCAACTTGCTGGAGGTGAATGGACATGTAAATGAACCAAACCTTGGCAGAAAATCCCAGAACTTAACATCTCTTTCTTGATCCATATAAATCTCTTCAACAAACTGTGGCACAAAAGGTTTGTCCCATGCTGATCAAGTCGTCTCCAAGTGTTTGACAGGAGACTAGGAGGAAGATGGCATAGGCTAGTGCAGGTTTCATTTGGCCTATCACAGTAGAATGTCTTTCCTCATAACAATTCTCAAGGCTATTTAGTGAAAAAAAAGTAGGAGATAAAACGAAAAGGGAATGCTTCAATAAAGTAGCCCTTTTAAAAGAAATCATATGGGTAACAGGTTCATTTCAAGTTTGACGCCAAGCCACATGGCAAGGAATTTACCATGCTGTTGATTAACATAGCCTACATCTGATGTTTTGGACTACTGTATTTATTCTTCAAATTTGGAAGTTTACATGTACATATGTTTAGATTTTATTTAGCATAGCTTTCTGTATCAAATGTAGGTAGGTTGGTACCGCTATTAGATTTTACTGAACAAAGTTTTCAATAAACGTTGGTCATAGATCAAATGACAGGTGGACTACAAATGTTCAGTTTTGTTCATGCTATTTCTTCCTTTTTTAACTCATATTAACAAAATGTTGGCAACTTCAACAGTCTAGTTTTCAGGCATGATGGATGGACTTTATTTAAATCTAGCTTGTCTAAGCAGAAGGTCTTAGTATTGGGTGTTATTACCTCTGGGCCTTCAGCAATTCAGTTGAAAGAGGATAAGAGGGTTATTCAGATTAGCTGGATTAGGTCTTTTGGATGCCTAGCTTTTTTGAGAAAGGGTGAATTGAATCTTAATAAGATATGCTGTGAGTGTAATGGTTTTGCCCGCAGATGAGGTTAGAGGATATGTACATGTCTGACAAGGGAAAGCCAGAATGGATAGCTGACATGAACGTTTCAATGTGGAATGTGATGTCTGCTTATTTTTTTTACGTGTAGGATCTACACTTCAAAAGTCCAGGCTCTCTGCAGAATTTCACTTTTGCTTACCATGTGCAGTTAACGTATGCATAATGTGCGTACATTACAATGAATATAGTGTGCACTATTCCTTTTACTCCTTTAATATCAACCTATCGAATTATAACCAGATTTGCATTCCCACACTAATGAAATTTAAGATTGAAAAAATTAGAATAGAACAGAACAAAAATGTAATTGTGATTTTTCTTAATGGTGAGAGAGTTTTGCTCCTTTTAAAACATGTTGCGATATTACTTCAAATATGTAGCCCCCTTCAGAATACTCAGTGCTGCATGAACAAGCACAGGATGACCTTCAAGAATGTGGGCATCTGCCAGTGACACAATTTAGAGGAATGTTTCAAACATTCCGCTCAATTTAGCAATATTTGCAGATTAAGCAAGTGTGGCTCAATTGTGTCTGTGACCATGAGACAGGGTTCATTGCTCAGTAGGCATGCTTTTATTTCTTCTTATGTTCAATGTATAAGTGGGATCGTGACTTTTGGTTAAAAAGGTTCAATATTTTGAGTGAAAATCAATCATTCAGCCATTAACCGCCTTTGCCAGAACTTTGGGAAAAGGGTAAACAACGTAATACATGATGTAATTCTAAGTATAATTTTATGGAATTGTGACCGAAGCTGAATACATCAATTTCATGATCTGCGGTTTCTGCTCTGAAAGAAACTTTAGTGTCATTGATACAGCAACACAAAACCCGTTTCAGCTGAAATTTCCTCGTTTATTCCTAAGAACCACTCTGACAATTTTGAGAAAGTGCAGCTTACATGTATTTCCTTAGCCCAGCTTCATTTCTCACTAATCCAAGATCCATTGATCAAAGATTTGAATGGTTTAAGACCTTACCGAGGAAGGTTTTGTCCACAAATCCTTTCAGGAATGGGGAGAATGTGTGGGAATTAACCACCAACGCTTCAGCCAGACTGTAAACAAATAATGAACAGTTGGTTGAGCAAACTTTGGAGAATTGTTGTTTGTTTTATTTGGCCAGTGATATCAAACTCTTTGGAAGGAAAAACACTGGTATAATTTTTGGCGGCCTTAGGAGAGTCAGGCCAAGTTGTTCCTGATTGATTTTAAGATTTCTTATTGCACTAACAGTGTTGCTTAAAAAGACACAAAAATACCTTTGCAAAAATCCAAAGCCCTAACTTGAGTTTTTTTAGTCCTTTTGAAACAAAGTTGTTTGGGGGCTCCAAAACATTATGGGGACGATTTTTCATCCCCACAACTCGATCTTGACTTTTCTAATAATAGAAATTGTCCCCTTAATGTGGTGGGGGCCCACCCTACAAATCCCACACTGTTCTAGTGTTTATATGTGTTTTACTGTCGAAGCTATTGTTGTTATTTTTGGCAGAATGTTACTAGAAAGAAGTTTCAATCCGATGATTTCCGCAGATCAATGACGGATGGCATTCTACTGTGCATGTAAGTCCATATTACATCTAAATCTTGTTTTCCTCTTTTTGTGATTTCCATACTATGATAATTCTGTTTTTCAAGATAAAAAAATCTTGATGCTGTTGTAAGAAAAGATGTCTTTAATTTTGCCTAAAAGTATGTAGTAACATTTACCAGCTGAAACTCTCACAGTGCAGACCAAAATTTCATGTTGATGCAAATAATGGTAGATTTTCCCTCCTATTTCCAAACATTTCTGATTCAAATTCACCAACTCAAACTTTCAATTTAGTTGAAGAACGTTTACATGTATACACTTTTTCCAAACTGATTCATCATTTCCCTTTAACTTTCAAATTTGGTAAGCACATTTATACATTGTCAAGAATATATACAGGTCAAACTGGTTTAAACCGTCACTGAATGGCAGCATTCAGAAATAGGATTCTTCTTATGTCAATCACTTTAGAACTTTAGCAAACTACATTAGTCTTGTGTGTTTTAGCATTTCTTCAGGCCTTCCAGAATAATTTGGTGGAAGTACAATAAGTTAACAACAAAGTTGACAAACTCAACAAGCTCCTCCCCCCCCAAATGAAACAAAATCACATTCTTCAATTTTTAAAAACAAATGAAAAGACTGAGCAGACTTTTTTTAAAACATAAAATGCATTAAAAACATACATGTATCATGACCCCCTAAATTAAGACTTTTTTGTATCCTAACTAAGTCTGATAGGTTTTCAAGAAAATGAATGCAAAGAAACAAGACACTTAATCACCGCTCATGGACGAGATTGAGATGAAAATGAGATACAGTACAAAGTTATATAAAACCATTCTACCTTGTTGTGTGTGACAAAAAAAAGTTGAATAAAGCTATCATTAAATAGTGTGGCAACAAATGAATTTGTTTTCTGAATAACACAGCTCAGTGTAAACGAGACAAAATCAAATTTGGTTGACCAATAGTTGAAATGGTATTACAAATGACAAAATTAAACACTGAATTGAAGTGACTTTGCTAGATGAATTTGAATTTACAAATCTTTACATTTGAAGGAGATCAAAGTTTTAAAGTAGCTGGAAAAACCTATATAAGAATTTAAAGTTTAATATGATCGGATTCAACCAATTAATTAGCAAAAAGAGAATAGAAAATAAGAAAATTTCACTCTGAGTATTCAAACATAATGGTAGAAACCATATATTGTCTAGTTGTCAAGGCAACAGCCTTTCTGATCCCTTAATCTTGCTGTGACAGCTAGGTCACATTGTTTCCTCCTACATTTTGACTGGGGAGGTCTCTTGGGCAATGCCTCGACATATTTATGGCGGTTGATGTTCACATTGCACCTCTTCTGCTGACAGAAAGGCACATGGAAGCTGGTTTAGTTAAAGCTATTTTTCATTTCAATATTTACAGTAACACAAATGAGTGCCTTTCTTGAGGTATGCAACAAAATGTGTGTATGGTTAATTAAAGATGTGGTATGCTTGTTTACAGGTTAATGCAGAAAATTAGGCCAGGATTAATCAAGAAAATCAACCAGTCACGTTCAATTTACGCTGGAGTGGTAAGAATCCTGTTCAAAAAGTTCTGTTTTGTGCTTTTCATTATAAAATGCCCCAAATATAATTTTCACCACAGACATAACCACATTGCCAAAACGTTTGTTTTGTCATATAGACAGGAGACGTTATATCGTTTCCGGATCCTGGCGGTGCTGATTAGGGGCATCAAACTGGGGCACAAGATTATAACTTGAATTTGTTGAGGCACTTTGTTGCTGGGTAGTGTAGTACAGGTTGTAAGTCACATAATGAGGTGCTGAAGGATTGGGGTTGCTAGGGTTCATGGGAACCATGTAAGAATTGAGGTCTGTTAATACATCTAATAATGTGGCACAGTTTTTTCTATTGAGTATCGGCCTTAAAGGTCTTACATGATTCAGCTGTTGGAAACTTTGCATCTCCAGTGTATATGTAGAAATCTCTATTTGAGTAATGGCCCTAGTTATTGCATGAAAAGCAGGAATTCATGGATGCTGTGTCAGTTATGACTCATGTGGGCTGAATTTTTTTCCCAGTGTTAACTTCTGTCTTTGTTCCGGTTTGTCTGTGAATTGAATTCTGGATAAATTGGTGCATACATGTAGTTGTGACAGTGTCATCAAAAGGATTGAAAATTTTTGAATGGATTTGGTAAGCAGTTGGTTGCATTTCACTGCTCTTAAAATGGCCCATGGAATGCATAACTAAAGTGGTTGATAGATGCAACAAGTGAAGCTATTGTCAAGGTTGCATTTTTATAGCCCATACATGTACATCATTACATGTACACATACAAACCCTGTCAGGATTTCATGGCATTCATGTAAATGCACATCAAGCTTATGGCATTATGGTCATGAATGTTGAAGTACAATGGAATTGCACCTTATGATTGGTAAATTACTCGTAAGGAGAGAATGACAATTGGAAGACATAACTTTGGACTGTTGCATTTTTGTGTGACAGGCAGCAAAGAAATGCTCTGGTCTGTTGTGCTAGAGCTATAGAAAGAGTTGCGATCAACATAGGTGTCGGTAAATACAGTAGCTGCACATTCTACGGACAGCCATTTTGTTTTCAAAATCTGAAGCTGGCACTATTCTCTCTATAGGGGTGCAGTCCACAAATTCAAGTCCGTTTGAAACTGTGTAAACTCAGCATTGTTCACGTCTCAGTAACATGTGCATATCAACATCCCTGGAGTTTCTGAAACAAAATTTGAATTATTGTGTTTTCCCCAGTCTTTCAATTTCTTTTCAATTTTTTGTGGGTTAAACAATTTCATTTTAAAATATTCACACAAAACAAAATCACTCTCCGAAAAGTGATATTTCCAAAGTCTGCATGCAGCTATTTTTCAAGTGCTATCCTTCTACTTTCTCGGGCACTTAGAACCATTTTTCAACTGTATTTTTTATCCATTCTGCGCTCAGATGGAAGCCCAAAGAACCATGGAGTTGATCCTGGCCAAGATTTACACAATTTCACCATTTTTTTGGCCAAACAATCTCCCTTTCAAAAGAAACTATGGTGGGGGAGCACTTTTCATGCTAATAAGCAGGCCAGGAATCTTCACTTGAATTAGTGGGCTGCACCTGTAGACAGCTCTAGTCTGTTGTGGGAAATAGCGCCCTCTATTGACAGGCATGAAAACAAGATAAAAGGGGTGGGGCCAATTGACAGGGGGGGTCTGGTATAGCAAGACGGACATGTATGAAAATGTAGCTGAAATCCTCCTCTGAGAAGTCACATTTACTCGTGCGTATCTCCCAAAGATTAGAGTTAAATGACCTACTCTTCTGTGGGAAAATATTCGCGCCATCGTGCGTAAAATTTAAGTGAATGGATGGGCATTGTGCCCTGTGGTAGAATCCATCCATGTCATTTTGAACAGGTATTTTGTAAGGGTTCTGTTTTGGTACAGCTGCTGTGCCGGCTGGTTTGGTTGAGTTAGTCCCACTCAGTGTTAAGTGTGTGAATCAGAACAGGTTGCAATAAAGTAGAGAGCATGGCCTCCCAAAGTATTTGTTAACCTTAAATTCTAATAAATGGTATGCTGCATTTTTGTTTACAAGGAGTGAAATACCCCAGCGTTGCAGTGAAAGCCCAAGTTTGCGAGTGACTGGACCAAAAACAAGTATTTCAAATACACCAATGTGTACTGCACAGCAACAAAGCATACTGTTGTGGGAGTGGTTTTATTCTGACCATTATTTCTCCATGTTCTGACCAACAGAACAAAATAAAAGATATTGTATTTTCCATAATGAGCAGAAAATAGGGCCTACAAGTTTTCTTTGGTGATGCCCTTGCAAACCCAAAGAAAAAAATGTTTTTTAGAGAAATTGGAAGATCACGTTTTTCTCAACTAAAAATAAAATGTTTTTTTTCAAGTGTAATCCCAGCAACTGAAGAGGAGGTGACAATTTCCTTCGTTGGCGAATTAATATTCAAATACTACACATACGTGTACACGTAGGGCCATCGGTTTTATTGTTAAGGGCGCAATAATGCGTCAACCTTATGTACACACCGGTAATCAAATTAAAAAATTCAGAAGCAGATTGGATGATGATTTAGAAAAAATGCATGGTATGTGCAAATGGTGGCAAGTGAGTGGGTCATTTCATTATTTTAAGAGGGGAACGCATTGTTAATTGGAAGGACTCGCTCATTTGTCTCGGTCAGTAATGAGTTCGGATTCTCATCAACTCTGTTTTAAATAGATCCATTTTTTATCAAAAAGTGCCCACATATGAAAGAGATATGAAAGATGGTGACGTTCGTGACGACTGAAAGGACGAAGTTTTTCTCTAAGCACGCGCTTGGAATTGGATTCACCCTTGCTCGTTTTGAAGTACGTCGTTCGGGTAATTCTGATAATAACATATCCCCGGTGCTAGCTAGCTGTACACACGCATTTACATGTATCGTAATCGGCAGCAACGTTAAGTCTTGAGTTTCGAAAAAATCAAACTAGCAGTTGGAGGAAATTTGGAAAAAAGATAAGCCCTGATTTAAGGTATGTATCATTGCTTTTTACGGAAGGTTACTTTCAAAGATGAATTGATATTTTTGAGCTGAACAATAGCAACGCGTGACTTTAAGGTCTGCTGCAGAGCATGGAGGAAGCATGTGCAGAGGTAGGCCTGCGCGTGAGGCCACTGTGCACCGCTTAGCAGATATCCACAAGTTATGTCACCTAAGTCGTGGACTTACGCTACACTTAAGATTCGTCGACTGCATTGCTTGCAGTTGCACAGTTTTACACTGATAACAATGTATATCACCAAAAAAGTTGTGTTTTGGTCCACAGCATTGTTAATTACTTTCAATGTGCTGATCTAGGCCTGCTCTGCTGATTTTTTGTGTAGCGTGTACATACGTGTGAAATTACGTTGACCAGTCGTGATATATGATAGAAGGCACCCATGTCCACTCGTGAGTCGCAGTGTCATGTGTATTTAGGCCTAAAAGAGTTCCAGATATGGACATCATTTGACACTCTGTGTAGAAGCCTCATGAGACTGGTGTGACATTTTTTCAAGTGTTTTCTAAGTAGGCTAGGCCTAAATGCTTTAATTACGGAATGTCAAAGGCCCCTTTGAGACTTTGACTTGATGTACAGTTACACTGTCAGTTATACATGTAGGTCTATTTGTAGAAATTGGTATGTAGAATTGTGAACATTTCAGGATCACCTAAAGCTTGAAACAGTCTCCCAACCCCATCTAGTGATATTGTAGCATCTCATCAGACCTTCAGCATGCTTGGAGCAGAACTCACCAAATTGTTTAGCACTTACAAATAAGCTATAAAGATTACTTGTTCAGCTCTAGCTGTGTCCTAATCTAACCATCAAGTTGGTGTGATGTTTCCTGATGAATGCCTTGCCTACTACTGTAAATGTACTTGTACATGTATGGGGGCAGTGTGGACATCCGGGATTCTCGCAAAATGGCTGGTACCGCGCCGGAGAAAATAGCGACCATGATGAGGTACATGTACACATGCACCAGCTAGTCTGAAGATCGGGTTACATAATCTTTTCTTTGATCAGTATGTAGGTGCGCACTCGTTGCAGTTGTTTTCATCGGTGTGGTGTGGTTGCTACCCGCAATTTTGTGAAACTCGGTCTTGGATGTCCGCGATGCCCTGTATGATTCAGATTTAAAATTTGGAGACATTAACTAAAGAAACTGTATGCCATAACTAGACTCTTCAGCAATTGTTTCTTGCCCAGAACAATCAGATTCAGGCTGAAAATGAAATGTAAAATCCCGATTTTGTTTCCACACCTAACTACGTACAGGCTAGTTCTTGCTTCAAACAAATTGGAAAGTGAAGCAAATTCAACATCACTAAACATTTTCAGTAACATGACTTGAGTTGCATTGTGTTTAGCTCTCACATGTATGAATTGCAGCATGATATCCCCTGAGTGTGGCCTGGAGACTCACCTTGCAGCAAGGCAAATCCTTGCCACACTCGTGGGGCTACGGGTAGCAGCACAAGAATTTGATCTGAGGTCACAATTTCACATTCGCTTTCACACCAAGTATGAGTCGGCTGCAACTAAACAAGGTTGATTAACGTTCACTCTTTAGACAAAGAAGCTCCACAAGTTTTGCATTCTTTTAATTTTAAATTCAAAGTTCTGTTGTTACAGATCTGTAGGTGTACTACATGTAGAATAAATCACAAAATATCGGTACATTGACCTTCAAAAGTGAGGCAGTGGGTATTTGACTGTGAACTGGTTCTTAATTGTATTTCTTGAATCCTAATTAACAAGCATGACCAGCACAGAACGTAGTGTAGGCCTATACAAACTTCTACAATGCAGTGATTTTTTTGGGGGAGGGGACTTTTACAGTGAAAAATCTTTTCCAGGTCTCTTGCTAAAAATACAAGTATATTGTCAATATAACTTCATATTCATGCCGTAGGATAAGGATTTAGACAAAGTACAGTTTAGGATAAATTTACTCATTAAAAATCAGAAACTGATCAACTCTTACAC